TCGTTTATAGGTTTTAGCTTCAAAATTGACAAGCTCTGAAAGCAAAGATAGTTACCCTTTAATCTCTGTATTTTCATTAGAATTAGGTGCATTTGTCACCTGCAATTAAAAGATTATTATGTCATGATGAGAGAGTGGAGAAAGAAAGTTCACATCCAAATAATGTAACAAGTTTTGGAGGCTTACGTTATTATATGTCTGTTGCATTGCATAAGCTCTTGCCGATGTCCTGAGGTTAAACACCTGATAGCAATCAAACAAAGAACTGTTAAGAATATTATGAAAGGAATTTGATACCTCAAGTCACTTAGTAAAATGTTTTATGATAACCTGAAACTCTGTTGCTGGTACCGTGCTCTTTTTAGGTGTAGGCAATGGAGGAGCCTCGAGAATCTGCAGAGGCCAATATCAAAGAAATGAAAGATCACAAAAGAGTATTGATTTTTCGTTCAAATACTATTCACTTGAAGCGCAAACTTTTATTTTTTCTATTCAAGAGGAGTTCAAAGGAATAGGAACTTGCTTTTGCTTGTTCTCCTGGTTTGGCATTAACCTTATACCTGAAAATCATAGTGTATAAGATGGCCCAACAGCTCATTAGGGAGACCTTCATGTATCAAACCCAAATATTTTACGAAAATCAAGCAAGAAGTGAATGTACCTACGTCTTTGTGCTCTATGTGCCGTTTCCAAATTCGGTTCTCTAGGAATGGTTACTTTAGGTCTAGCATTTACTGTGATAACATCACCTCCAACCTGCATTGCACCACGAAAAACTATTTTTTTCTTATTTGGTATGAAAACAAAATCTCTTCGTATGATTTCAAGCACAAAATCTTCTGCTTTTTTGTTTTTTTAATTACGAACAGCAAACACCTCAATGCAGTATGTATGTACATTACCCTTATTGGCACCTTGTGCAACCAAAAAGGTTGATGCTTAAGTTCAGCAACCTGCTTCACAAAATTATAAGGGCCCTTCAGAAATTCATTTAGAAGATTGATCACTATTGAACTTCATATGTATCATAATTGCATGCATATACGCCTCTGGTATACAGAAGATAAAGAACCAATTTGAGGAAAAAGACTACATGTACGTTCTCCAGGCATCAACAAAGATCAAACCAAAGATGCCAAACTACCAAATAAAAATGAGTTAGTGCACCTTGCGTAAATAGCCAGCCTCCAACTTCTGTCTTTTAGTACAATGGGTATCACTGGAAGGAGATTTCTGTGAATTAACATCAGCTTTCCTAAGCTTCTCCCCAAACCTGTGTAATCAAGAGTCGAAAATGGAAGAAATAGAGAAATAAAACACCAATCAATAAGAATAAGAGATCATCCACAAAAGAAACATCATCAAATTTGAAAAAGTACGTGTCCCCAGTACACGAAACGAAAAATGCTTCACCAACTTTATGCACAACCTGCTAAATGGCAATCTTGTCTTACCAATCTTTAGTAGGACATGATGATACAGTGACACCTTTGAATACTGCAAAATGTGATTTATAAATAAAGAAAAGGCAAGGCAATTTTGCCAATGGAGATGACAATAGAGGGAAAAAAAATTAGCACCTCCTCGATAACCGGTTCAAGTGAGGTTCTCGACGATGATTTTGCTTGGCCAACTGACTTGCTGTGGGTTTCATCAAAGTTGAAATCCTTGATAGAGGCGGTGACTTGGCTGGTATACTTGCTAAGTGCTCCGTTCAGTTCCTTCTGCGTGCTTTCCAACTGACTGAGTGGAGCAATATCTTTTAGCTTCACTTTAAGTTCGGCAAGGGCAGACTTATAATCAACCTGAGACTCACAATCATTAGATGATTGGATCTTTTGTAATGTCTTCTGGATTTCTTGGTCAATCTGATCGATCACTTCTTGAGCTTTAGAGCTTGACAGTTTTTGTTTCTTTGTAACACGATCAAATGCATCTTTAATGGTGGTCAGCTCCATTTATATTTCACTAAAGTGTATCAGTAGCTTGTGATGAGAAATGAAGATGATAGAGATCTGCAAAAAGTGAAACAATTCTAATAAGCATAAAAATGTTATAGCATACATCTGTATCTTAAGAAAACCTAATCATCAGAAAATCAAAAGGCCCAATTGGCAACTGTCAAGTATGTTCTCATAAACAAACATTTAAAAATAACAAGACCACAGAAACAAGGTTTACAAGGTTAGTTTAGATTTATGCTTCACATGAAATAATTTATTCTCAAAACATGAAAAGAGATTTATCTCCAAATTAAAACATGGGAGGATAAAGACTACAAAAAATCATAAGCAAAGGTTTAATTAAACAGGAAAATTCTTAAAAGGAAAAGCTTCAATTAACTCACTCAGCCTTCAGGTGCCACAAATTTATCAAATAAGTAAAAGAGTCCCTTAATTCATCTAAGGAGGTTTGCATGAAGATAACTGTGGGCTGTTAGGTGTTGTCGCAGGAGAAACAAACTCATTGCATGTACATATGTGTGTGTGCGTGTGTAAAAACACGTGCAGCCTGAAAATTTTTGACACATCCTTTTAAACCACATAGCATCTGCAAACAATCCCTACTCTCCTAAAGAATAAGGTCCTTACATGAGAAAATATCTTGCTTTAATTTCTTGGACGATTTTGATATTACCTATAATTTGTTTTTATCTTCTAACCAAACATGTAATTGGTGAATATCATGTTGAAATTTCATTAGTCTCATGCTTTGGAACTCTATGCTTTGTTCACTACAAATGGGGGATATATATTGGAATTTTGAGTCTGGAACAAGTTTGTCATTTGACCCATGCTGCAAGGGTTTTATGTGGCATACGTCATCCAAAAAACTAAAAAGAATATTGCATGTGTATTTCCAGCTCCTTGCCACATGTCTCTCTTGCCCAAAAACACACCCTTGTTTGGTGTATTGAAGAAATAGTGTACCGTAATGAAAGTAAGATGACTACATCTAAATACATTTCTGAATGAAAAACGTATGACCAACAAAGGGCTTATTTGGGAGTGATTCTGGATAGGCCAGAATCATTCTGGGGAGAACCACCTCCCATGTGCTTCTCCATATAATCACTTTTAAGTGATTATGGGCAGAAGCACCTCCCATATGCTTCTCCATAAAATCACTTAAAACTACTTAAAGTGATTATTTGGAGAAGTGATTCTCTATAGAAATGCTTTTTGGCCTATTTAGAATCCCTCCTAAACGAGCCCAAACAGTGATATGCAGCATCAGAAAGTGAAAGAAATAAACATATTGTCCAACAGATAATCAGAGAGAGAGAGAGAGAGAGAGAGAGAGAGAGAGAATGCCCTAAACCAATCACCTTTGATGTTAGCAAGTGCAAAATGAGAGAGCTTAAAAAGAGTGAAAAATCTAAGTCATTTAAAAGACTAGAGACATTCCCTTACACTTATTTAAGCCTCTTCACTGGTTCCTACAAGGTTTTTGTAAATCTTTACAGGCTCATGGCTAGGGAATAGGCTGACACGATGCAGTCGTGAAGTCCTCACTCTGTGGGGGGGAGGGGGGAAAATTGCTGCCAAACCACTGCAGTTGAAAACCACCGGCAGAGATGAGTATTATATTAGGTTATTTCAAAATTATCTCATACGGGAACATTGACAGGCCCATTCAAGCACAAGAAGGTGCAGCTGCACCTCCCCTTTCTAGAAAAAGCCTTAGAGGCACCGGATTTACCCCTCTGCTATGCTGCCCACCAACTGTATGAGTAAATGACACAACCATGTTCTTCTTTGTGTTGCTGCGCTGTGCACATCATGCCTTTTTATTTTATTTTATTTTTTAAGTCTTAGCCAAAACGACGTCATTTTGGATCAGGCAAAAAAAAAAGGGAAAGGGAAATGTGCAATTTGAAGTCATTAATGAAACAGATTGCCAAGTTGCCATCCCTTCCAGTTTGAAGAATCCTTGCACGTATCACGATATTCCCAATTTGAATTTCATCGACTTGGTTTGGAGTAAGGGCCAGTTTGGCATTGCTGTGCTGTGAAAATAATCGCTGTCAGATTTGCTGTGAGAGAAATCAGCTGTAAGATAAAGCAGTTTGGCGTTTGGTAAACTTTTTGTTCAAAGTGTTTTTTGTATTGATTCCCACATAATTAGAAAATAATTCTTGCATAATCATCAAACCCAGTGCCCTCTTCGAAATTGATTCATGCATAATCAAAAAATGAAAGTACCTCATTAGCTGTTTTCCCTAATAGCTTTCTCTCACAACAATTTTTAATAATAAGTGATTTTTTCATAGTTTACCAAACGGGCTAGGCTTCCCAATTTTTTTTAAAAATCACTTATCACCCCAAATAAGCAATGCCAAATTGGCACTAAGGGCCATCATTTGGCCCACGGGCTCATGAGCCGATAAGGGTCAGTTCGGACCATCGAGAAAAAGCCCAGCCTGGACGGTTGTGGGCCATGGGCCAACCCGACCCAATAATTAGTGGGCTGGGCTTGGGCTTAGGTGTCTAAAGCCTAGCCCGACTCATAGGCCTGGCCAATTTGAGCCCACTAAGGCCTGACCCGCAGGCCCATATATTTTATATAAATATAAATTTAGTTTAAAAGTGAAGGGAAATGATGAAGACACACACAAGGGGTTTCGAACCCCTACCACTTTCATCCCAATCAACAACTTATCCACCATGCCATAGACAACTTAAAGCCATAGACAACTTAATGATTATATGCTACACCATTTGATATTTATATATGCTTCATCAAACACCTTGCCACAACTAAATTTAAGCCATATCAATAATGTTGGAGCTACATCAAACTATGTCAACTTAGAAGGCACTTCTTCCATGTCCTTATTTAGAGCTTTACGGTGAAGAGAATGTCACAAGAGTTCATATGAATTTTTGTTGTAGTTTTCTAAATTTTAATTTATGTATTGTGAATTTATGAAATGAACAAAGAAAAAAATGAAGACATAAACATATAGATAAATGTAAATAGAGAACTATGAAAAAAAAAACGTAGAAACACACCAAACATAGAAAAAAAAATAAAAAATTGACCACAAAAAAAAAATCAATATTAAAAAAAATACAAAATAAAGCAGGCCCATTTCGGCCCGCCCTGGCCTTATGGGCTTTTTCAAACCTAACCCATGGGTCGGGCTTGGACTTCGAATTTTTTTAAAAAAACACAACCCAACCCGACTCGTTATTTTCTCTCTCCTCTTTAAAACCCAGCCCGACTCAACCCAAGCTCATTAAATTTGGGCCGGGCTATCCCAGCTCGGCCCATTGACGAGGCCTACTCTAAGATATGCCATTTTTTCACTATGAGATTTGAGTCCTAATACAAGTATGCCATTTTTTCAATATGAGATTTGAGTCCTAATACAAGTAGAGAGATGAGAGATGAGCAATGCCTATGATGGAGTTGAGGAGCGATCGATGAAGGGGAAGATGTAGAGGGAGAGAAGGGCAAAAATGTGGTGTAAGGAGGACTATGGTAAGTTTTAATCATCAAACTCATATGAATAGTGGAGATAAGTTTTGGGCATCAACCTCATATGAATAGTCCCCCTTAATCCTTCAAGTTAGAAGACAACATCCATATTCTTCTTTGATTGTACATGACATCTAGTTATTTAGCTAATCTAGGCTAGTCCAGTCTAAATCCTCCATTGCAAACATGTAAAAAAAACTGAGTTTGAAGTAAACGCAAAGCAATCTACAAAGAATACATTCATCAAAATGAAACACGGAAAAATAGTCTCTCGCGGATAATTTATGGATCTAGTAGGGCAACAACATGCAAATTCAAACATTTTGATTACTGCTGAGGAATGCGGATGCTAAAACAAAACATAGATCAAATCTCTCACGGATAATTTATGGATCTAGTAGGGCAACAACATGCAAATTCAAACATTTTGATTACTGCTGAGGAATGCGGATACTAAAACTAAACATAGATCAAATTTCATGAGCTGAATGCAACTCTGAAAAAGCATATTGCAATCACATGTAAATTCAGTTGGAACCTTTCGAGGCTATCAGCATATGACTAATTTTTGATAACCGGACAATGTCAAATGATCTCCTCTTCAACACAACCTTCGTCTTTGACACAACCAACGAAACAAGAAAAGGCAGCCACTTTGATACCAAATAAATTTCAGTCAACTACAGGCTTACTATCAAAGACTTCTCTTGCTTCAAGTGCATCGGCACAATAACGCTTCGACAAAATTTCAACTTGTTCAGCAAAGGACTTAGTCCCATTCCGACCAATGTGCTTGACCATTTGATTCCATCGCTTTCGACATACATCTCCAGACCTATGCTCAAGCAAATCATCCCAATTAACGTCTTCCATGCAACAAGCATCCAAGCTATCGAGAGCATAAAGTAGGCGATAATCATCAGTATCAGACCACAGACCTTCAGTTACTAAAGGTGATGTTAATTGGTAATACCACTTCTGGCAGCAAACGGGATTGGTTCTGCTGCCCAAAGTCTCACTAATTGACTCCCACTTAATATTATCTCGCAGCATGCCATGCTTGGATTTTTTTTCTTCCAACACCCTCATCTGCAGATCCTTGTTCACTAAATCAAATAAAGTCTGGTACTCCTCTTGTGACCACTGTCCTTTCTTCATGTTTGGCAGTTTTATTCTACGCCATGCATCCTTGACATGAATTCTGTGTTTGCCAAGTTCATTACCCACCTTTCTCCAATTGGGTTTGGGTTCACCTTTAGCCTTAGCTTCCATAGCGGCACGTCTTACTATTTCATACTCTTCGGGGGTCCAATTACGTTCCTCAGCTCGTTCAAATAAAATATGGGCTCGATAATATATGCTCTTATAAGGCCTCCAGGGTAAGAATCCCCCAATATCCTTCCAACAATTTCTTATTTCAGGGTTGGATCCACAATTGAGTATCTTGTCGATGCCTTCCTCACCTAAGCCATGTTCCTCTATGTATGTTAAAATAGCCTCTTTTACAAGCTTGTCTTCTTCTTTTGAAAACCGCTTACCTTGTACTAAGCCCTTTTCCTCATCTTTTGGGCCATCAGATGGTGAAAAGACCTCCACATCATCAGCAAAACTTACTCTTTTTGTGGCTTTCTTAGGTGTAGAATTTTCAGAAAGATCAGGACCCCTAACACTTTTTTGGGTTCTTAGGCTTCCTTTATCTGACTTAGCTTTTTTCATATGTTTCTCTGACTTGGCCCTCTTCTTCCCTTTATTACCATCTTCAACATTCACATCATCTATGTTTCTGTTGCTTGTCTCATCTCCAGTTGCATCATTACCGTCATTCTCTAAGAAACTATTTTCTTGAACTCTACTGCTTTCTGTGCCCAGTTTCTCAACCACAGTTTCCTGCATTTCACTTCTTGAATTCTTTGTATGCTTTCTTTTATCTTTCTTCATGATTCCACCATTCTCCATGATTTTCCCATCTGAATGCTCACTTTCTACTTCAGTCTCCTTTCCATCAGTTGTGATGTTCTGTACCAATTGACCACCCACCTTTTCTCTCCTCTCTTTATTCTTTTTTTTCTTTTTATCCACTTCTACTTTGTTCAATTCGGCAACGTCTCTGTCTTTAGAGCAGTTAAACCTCTTAGCTGACTCATCCATTTTGTCATCCTCAATGAGTTTCTTTCTCTTCTTTCCCTTATCAGCAAAGTCAACTTCTTCCATGACTTTCCCATTGGATTTGTCACAATCTTTTATGAGCACCTGTTCAGTAGTCAGGTTTGACTTTAATTCACTATCAGCCACCTTCATTTCCCTCTTTCTTTTCTTCTTCTTTTTGACCCCTTCTCCACCATTCCTGTCAAATTTCTGCACCTGAACTAACTCGCCCATTTTGTCCTTAGAGACTTCTATCAAAGAGGAATTTGTATCAGCTTCATCCTTCTTCCTTTTCTCCTTCAACCTTTTCTTGTCTTTCCTTGCTTCAAACTCCAAATCTGTTGTCTTCTCCCTTCCCATGTTGCTTTCTTTTGATCTTGAAGAGAAATAAATAAATATATAATCAGGGACCAATAACTTCAGTAGTTTGTGATGAGAAATGAAGATGGAAAGATTCTGCAAAAAGTGGAAAGAATTATAATTAGCTTAAAATGCAATAGCATAGATAGCATATAACTGTATCTTATGAAAATGGTAATCATGAGAAAATCCAAAGGCCCAATTGGCAACTGCCAAATATGTTCATATACATAGACATTAAGAAATAACAATGATCACAGAAACAAGGTTAGTTTAGAGTTACGCTTCACATGAAATAATTCATTCTCAAAACATGAATAGAGAACTACCAGAAAAAGAAAAGCATAGGAGGATAAAGGCCTCAAAAATTCAAAAGCAGTGGTTTAATTCAACAAGAAATTCTTAATGGAAAAGCTTCAGCTAAAACAGCCACTCAGGTGCCACAAATTTCTCAAATAAGTGGCTCTTAGTCTCACTATGCTTTGTTTCCTGCCAACATGGGATATATACAGATAGTTTGGTTTTGGACACATGCTGCAGGGTTATTTGTGGCACAAATCATCTACAAACATAAAGAAGAACATTGTCTATGTATAACCAACTTCTTGCCACATTTTTCTATTGCCCAAAAAACATATAGCCTATCTTGCTTAGTGTGAAAAATAGTATTGCGTAACGAAAGTA